TGCGATTGCTTGTTTCTGGTGTGTCCCAATTCTATGGCAACATCCTGACTACAGACAGTGTAAAATGAACCTTCTCCCTTCCCACCCCACCCCTTTGCTTGGGGGAAGCTGTAATCCCGGTGTTGCGTGTTACACAATGGAGAGCACACTATGGCGTGACTCCCTCTGATTTTATGGCTGATCCTGTCTCATTTCTCTGGGAGAAGCTGGGCTGGATGCAGCAGGTAGGGAAATGGTACAGCGTGTGTCCTTTGGGTCAGCTGACTGTGCAGCCTCATGTTTTGAATCAGCTGTGAGTAGTCCACAACTAGGATCTGATCTAGGCCAGGTCTATGCCAGTCAGGGGAATGAAGAGGTGGGATCCCTGACTGATGTCGCTGTGCTGGCAAAACCCCCTAGAATAGACACAGTTATATGGGTAAAACTGCTGTTACCAGGATAGTTTCTTTCACTTGGGGTGTGTGGAAGGGGGTGAGGGAGGGAACTGAAATAAGCTATGCCAACAAAAGCACAGTTTGGCTGGTATGTGCTTTGTCCCCATAAGGAGTGCCTTACTGGTGCAGTATACTGCTATTCTATACCCCCAATTAAGGGCTCCTAATATAGACCTGGCCTTAGACCCACTACCAACCCTACTAAAGTGATTGGGAGGCTTTTCACCCACTACAATGGATCAGACCCCTAATGCAAAACTAACACATCTTTTCTTGGTCTCTCTCTGCAGCAGTTTATTTGTAAGGGAAGCCAGGAAAATGTCCTAATTTGATGGTCGATTCTTGTAAACATCCAATAAATTCCCAGGGCTGGATATGTATCTCCCTTTCCTCTTATCTACATTTGTCTGTTTATTTGCATGGCCAATTTCTTAGTACTGTATATTACTCCCCAACCTTGAGCAATTGGTGCGAAATCTCCAATCTCTATGTATTTCACAGAGAGACGTGTTTGCCACAGCTTTGCTTAATTCCTGCCTTCTGTAGGTGTTTGTTCACTGGGCTTGTTTTACGGGGATGAGTGCACAGTTTGGTACCACTCAACAACAGCGCTCTGTTTGTGTGTGTGTGTGTGTGGTTTGGGGATGACTGATAGGGGCAGAGCCTTCAGTGAGAACAATGAATCAGAACCTTGATCAAAGCAGTTATCTCTTATGAGTCAAATATTCTGGTAAAGGAAATGTCACCCTGCTGGAAATGAGTGCAGTCAGCGAAGACAAGTTGCACGGTGCTCAATGTCAGCGGCCATCTTCTGAAGGCTTTCACTGCAGACTCCCAGGGTGCCATCCCTTTGTTAAAGCTCTGCTTTGGCTAATAAACCCACGGCAGTTTAGATGATGCAACCCTGGGGTGGGGTGGGAAGGGAGAAGGTTCATTTTACACTGTTTGCAGCTGAGAATACAAGGTGATCCTCATCTTCTTGTTTAAGGGAAAGTGTCCCCTTTGGACCATGTTAATGATCAGCTTCCTGGACCTCCACTAAACCTGTGGGGCTTAACCCCAGCTCTGAACTCCCCCGGACTTTGAGGTATTTGAAATCCGGAGGCTCTACAGTTGTAACAGATGGGGAAACACTTTGTAGGCACTCTACAGGGTTAAAACTACCAGATACAACATGCTGAGGGGAAAACTCTCACGCACATGAGCTATTTTGCAAGTTGGTGCCTGCAACACAGTGTAATGAAAGCGAGAGGCAGGGTGGGGGCGAATATGCTGCTGTGACTTCCGTGGGTTGCACCAGCGTATTCATTTGGATCAAGGCAAATGGGGATGATTTATTTCTGCAGCAGCCACACCGTACAATAACAAACAAGAAAGAGGTCCCCATCCCAAGGTTCAACAGTGTTAAGGCACAAAGGGTCGGTACCGCGATGGACATGCTCATACACAAGCCAGGATGAGAGAAGGAAGTGAATGGGGTGGACTCATTGGATACAGAAGACAACACGAAATAGGTTTTAGAAGTCGCTTGAAGGACAAGGGGAATGGATCTGGTTGAACATTAATCTGGAGCTTAGCTAAGAACATGAGGTGTCACAAAAGGAAGTACAGTAGCCCGGAGTGAGTGAAGGAGGCAAAGGGAGTAGTTGCAATAGTAGATTGGCAGAGCATATGGGATGGGAGGGAGCATAGGAGGAGACAAAGGCAGAGTCCCAGAGACCTTTGGAGGTGAAGAGGAGAACCTAAGAAGAGAGGAAGGGAGGGTGGAGTTGGAAGAAGGACTGGGAGGGGGGACAGATCTCCACAGAGGGGCATTGCTTCCACACTAATGGAGAACCCCGGGGAATGAGATGCACGCTGGATAAAAAGGTAATGGTGAAGCTATGGAATTTGCACCCTCTTCCTGGGTAGGAGGGGCTGGCTTCCAGCAGCAGCTCTGCTGCTGTCTGTGAACTGCCAGCACTCATTGCCTGCTCTGAGCCAGTTTTTCTGTCTGAAGTTTTCTCCAATGGGAAACTCTTTTCATGTGACTGAAATGTCTGTCACATCTAACCCTGCGGATCCCGAGTCGGCTGTCGCTTTATATGCTACCAGCATTGATGGCGCGTTTAGTGGGTGTATGTCTCTTAACTCTGTGCTGTGGTTTGGTTATATCTCTGGTTTTCTTTTTTTCATTGTCCTCCCAGTTTGCCACCAAAGGGCAGGAATTGAGGGCGAGACCAGGAGGGATAGTGACATTCACCACCTGTCTTTTGACCTGGGGAGAAGAGTTTATTTCACCCTCGATCAAGGAAAATAGGATGGAGAGTGGGGTTTTTTGGGGTTTTTTTTTTTGAGGACAAGAATGTTCCTTATTTGGGCTGGCGTCAGGGTGATGTGATCTGGTGGAGAAGGGCTTGGTGTGTGTGTGTGTGTGTGAGAGAGAGAGAGAGAGAGAGTGTGTAAATAGCTGCTGTCACAATGGAGATATTACATGGTATTCCCTGCCGCAGCAGATCACTCATTTTCTTGAGATTGCACAAATACTCACCCCCCTAAGCGCTCAGTCTGAAAAATGCCACCGCTGCATGGGTCAAATTCACACACACCTCTTCTGTTGTGCCAAAGTATCAGAGCTTTACTCCTTTAACTGTGAGTTTCCTGTCCTTTGTGAGTTCCTGCTGCAATCATAACGATCTTTTAATGTAGTTTCTGTTGCATCAGTTTCCTGTTTGACTGCACTTTAGCTGATGACTATCATGGATTTATGTGACTGGATTAAACCTCAGTGACACCAAGGGATGCAAACAGAGTAATCGCATATCTGATTGTGGAACACCATTGATAGGCTTTGTGAGGGAGCCCTGCAGCTGCAACACAGGCTCGTGGGAACACAAGTAAGACAGGAGAAAAGGGTCGAGAAGTGAAGAGTAATTGTGGAGCAGCATCCGTGTGCTAACAGAGATGCAGATGAGCCCCATGCACATAGGGCAGTTACTGATGCAGGACAAGCCTCGGAACATTCAGATGCTCATTTTGGATAAGCCCCCCCAGTCTGGCTGCTGAGCTGAACGATACAAACCTCCTGCATCAGCAACATTTAACTCAAAATCTCACAAGCACCATGTCACGGTCCAGGGCAACTGCCCCTGTATCCAGCAAGAGCACCTACTTTTTGGCTTCTGGCTCCCAGCCATCAGCTCTCTCGGGCGGAGACCTCACCATGCTTCCTTCTGACTGGGCTGAACAGTTTCCCACCTACACTGTGAGTTCCCCAGCAAGTCAGACTGCCTAAGCAGGCCTGCTTTGCTTTCTCCTCAGAGGCTATAAACAGCATAATTGCCCCTAATTATAAGGTACCACACAGCTTTTCTAAGCAAGCCCATTTATTCTTAAGGTGAAAGCATTACAGAGAAAACATTATTAAAACACTAAAGGAACCTACACACATGCTGATAATCTTACCGGAGACCACCCTACCCTACCCCAGCAAGGCCTCTGGGGGTGGGGCAGTCCTTCAAACCCACCAAGCGGTTTTGCTGTAGTTACAAGTTCCTAACAGCATTAGCTCAGAACAAGCACCCCTATGAATCTGAGAGTCCCTCCTTTATGCTGTTGGGACCTTTGACCTTGGGACACTGGGAACAGATAAACAGCGGGTTGCTCTTCAGGGTGTAGCTTCAAGAGGTTGTGTCTGGAGATGGGGATTTGCATTTCCTCCCCCCCTCCCGGTATTTCCGCTCAACTAAAAATTCATTCATGTCTGGTACATTGTTTAAATGAATCCGTTGAAGCTCATAATACGTCCCAGGGTTTACACTGATCATGTGTCTCTCTTAGAAGCCAGAAGCCGAAAAGTAGGCGCTCTTGCTGGATACAGGGGCAGTTGCCCTGGACCGTGACATGGTGCTTGTGAGATTTTGAGTTAAATGTTGCTGATGCAGGAGGTTTGTATCGTTCAGATCAGCAGCCAGATGGGGGGGGGGCTTATCCAAAATGAGCATCTGAATGTTCCCTGCGGGTGCTGGGTGGAAGCCCTAGTCTGTCTGTCTCTTTTTCTTCACATTTGTAATGTTCCCATCACTGTATCATCATTTCTTATCTGAATTGGTTTTCTCTTTCTCACGCAGTAGTCCATTATGATGCACCTGCTCAGTGTCCAATATTTACAGTTCAGTGACTTGGCTGCTTCAAAGCATCAATAATGTATATTCTCACTGGCCCCCGATCCTTCTCCCATGGAAGAAAATGGCCAAGCTCCCCACTGGCTTCAACAGGCTCAGGAGAGGCCTATTTGTGGATTAATTGCCTACAAAATGTGCATGATCGTGTTTAATTAAAGGACAGCTTTTCCCATGAACAAAGAGGGCTGTTGCCTCATAGACGGGAGGTGTGGACGCCTGGCACCCATGCCTGAAGCAGCATACATATACATGGGGATGACATGGGGATGCTTTATTCATGAGGACTCTGGAGCTGACCCAAGAGTACTCCATTAATCATTTGGGCATAGTCCATCAGGAGCAGAGTCCACAGTGCTCCTAAGAGTTTGTAGGCAGCTGTGCTGCAAGGGCTTTTTGTGCAAGGTGATGTCATGTCTCTTCCTCCTTGCGGGCAAGATTGTGAGTCCATTGCTCAAGTCAAGTCATATATTACATCACAAGCAAATTAATGGGACTTTTCTTCAGTGTGAATAAGAGTATCACCATCTAGTCCACAGCAAGGAGAACAGTCTTTTTATGTGTTCACTTAGATTTAACTGGGTGTTTCTATGCAGTAAAAGAGGAAAGGGGAAGAACTGTGAATATAGAGTGTTGGATTTATGACTGCAGGAGACAGCGATCCGCATGAAGCCCGTTTCTTCACCATGGCCTGTGAAAGCCAAGCAGACGGAGCTGAGAAACAAAGTCCCATCTCCTACTGTGGGACCCATGCAGATGACAGCTCCCTTCACTGGGTGAAAGGTAAGCAAATAGCTCAAACTATTGATTGCAACAATGACCTTCTGAATCAGGTGGCACTGAACTAAGAGAAGCTACATTTTTTTTTAGGGCTGCTCATTTTCAATTGAAGAAATATAACCATTATAATACACCTCTACCCCGATATAACGCTGTCCTCGGGAGCCAAAAAATCTTACCGCGTTATAGGTGAAACCGCGTTATATCGAACTTGCTTTGATCTGCCGGATTGCGCAGCCTCGCCCCCCCGGAGCACTGCTTTACCGCGCTATATCTGAATTCGTGTTATATTGGGCCGCGTTATATCGGGGTAAAGGTGTAATTAAGCAAAAATAAAGAACACACCCCATGGCCAAGAATTACAAAAAAGTGGCTAGTAATTTTGGGTACCCCAAGTTTGGGGAGCCCAATGTGGTACACCTTAAAGAGGCCTGCTTCTCAGGAGTGCCCTGCTGAAAATTAGACCCCTTTAAGGCATCTCAGTTGGGGCACCCAAAGTCATAAATCGCTTGTGAAGATCTTAGCCTGGATTTGTAAAGTGACTGACAAAGCCTTGCTCTGTTTATGTTGCTTAACACAACACTCCTTTAGAAATGGACTAAAGTTCCGTGTCCATCTGATACAATAATAGCAATTCGCTCCGATAGCACATGTTTCATGCATAGCTCGCCAGGTGGTTGCCCTGTGCAGATTCAGCTGCAGGATCAGGGCCCAAGGTTTCAAAGTGACTTTAAAAGACATCAGTGGGAGCTGCAGGTGCTCAGCTCATCTGGAAATGAAGCCATGTAAACGTTTTAAAAAGGGTCCATTCATTTTGAGCGTCTCTGTTTCTGGTTTGCCCAGTTTAAGACATCTAGTAGCTAGTGCCTGATTTGCAGAGGTGCTGAGCACTCACAGCTCCCTTTGGCTTCAACTGAAGTTGCCCAGCACCTTTGAAAATCACTGGGGCTAAAACTGGGCACTCAAAATTATTAGCCTTTGTCCTGAGTAACTTGCCTAAGGTCACAGAGTGGGTTAGCGGCGGGGCTCGGAATAGAACCCAGGTTTGCCGACTCCTGCTCCTGCGCTACTAGACCAGACTGCTCGCTTTCTGATGATGTAGTTCATCTCAGCAAACACGTAGAACATGGTTTCATTCACGTACCCCACAGGTCTTGAAATATGCCTATTCCATGGATTTTAATCTGGATGGGCCACACCTTTGTGTGAGAAGGAATTTAGCTTCCTTGTTGTTACCCAACACAGGGGAATCCGCGGGTGGGGTAGAGCTGGTGCAGAGGGTGGGGCGAGGTGTGCCACGGGTAGGAGGGGGTGGGGTAGACTCTACAGTGCTCGGCCTTATCCTCTGCCAAGACAGCAGTGCCTTAAGCCTAGTTTCTCAAAGGTATTTAGGCACCTAGATACCATTGAAATCAATGGGAGTTAGGCTCCTAAATGCTTTCAAGGAGCTGGGCCTTAAAGCCATTTGTCACAGATCTTCACAGCTGTTTTGAGTGGGTGGAATCCATTGTCTTGTCACCCACTGGACTGGCACATGATCCCTTCCCAGGTCAGATCACTTCCTCTTTGGGCACACGTAGGATTTGGTCTCCTTACCTTTCAGCCCTTGGTCCCTCCAATATAGCCAGAAGGCTGCGCAGCTCTTCGGGTTGTGATTTTCTTAGAAACGATTGAGGAAGAATTCAGAGTCCGCCACATGCTGAGAGCTTCTCAGCGCAATCTGCCACTTCCTCAATTTGCAAGCCCACTTCAGCACTCATGAGGAAAACACACCACAGAGCAGTCCCTTATGATCACACCCAGCCTTCTCCTCCGATTCTTTTTGCAGAGTTTCACAATGGCCAGGTGCTCATGGTTCTCACTGCTAGCAATACCTGCTCTTCCACCTTCTTTGATATGGAGCTTTGTGCAGAGAAACTGAAGACCTTTGGAATTCAGGTTAGCTCCTCACCGGGAACCTGGCTACTTGATGGCTTACCGGGGTGATGGGTATTTTTATGCCTGTGTCACTTGCACCTGTTACAAGAAATCAGGGTCTACTTCATATCTGTCACTCAGAAGTATAGACGGCCTATAGGAAGAGGGCTATCACTTACACCTGGGCAATCCTACTGACTTCAGTCATCTTTCGTGTGCATCACAAGTCGATATCTAAATTATTCGGCCATCTAAGTGCTGCATCATGGAGGGTAGCAAGGTGTTGCACTCCTCTACCCCGTTTGACTGTCTGCATCGCTGCCCTGCAGTCACATTGGCTTAGCCCAATCATCACAACTTATTGCCTTCAGAGAGGTTGGGTGTGTATAAATTTCAGCTGTGTCTGAGAAAGTGATATTACAAAGTACAATGATAGTGCTTTGAGATCCTCTGGTGATAAGTGCTCTGTATAACTCAGGGCTTGTCTACATGCGGAGTTGAGTCATTTGAACTGGTGTGATTTTAAACCGGTGCATGTAAACAAGTCCTGCAGCTCGTAACAATCAATTTGCAGATACCTAGAAGATAATAAGGTGATATGTACCAGTCAGCACAGATTTGTAAAGAACAAATCGTGTCAAACCAATCTAATAGCTTTCTTTGACAGGGTAACAAGTCTTGAGGATGGTGGGGAAGTGGTGGTAAGGTTTTTGTTACTGTCTTGCATGATCTTCTCATAAACAAATTAGGGAAATGCAACCTAGATGGAGCTACTATAAGGTGGGTGCATAACTGGTTGGAAAACCATTCCCAGAGAGTAGTTATCAGTGGTTCACAGTCAAACTGGAAGGGCATAACGAGTGGGGTCCCACAGGGATCAGTTCTGGGTCTGGTTCTGTTTAATATCTTCAATATCTGTTCAATATTTAGACAATGGCATAGAGAGTACACTTATAAAGTTTGTGAATGATACCAAGCTGGGAGGGGTTGCAAGTGCTTTGGAGTGCAGGATTAAAATTCAAAATGATCTGGACAAACTGGAGAAATGGTCTGAAGTCAATAGGATGAAATTCCATAAGGACAAATGAAAAGTACTTCACTTAGGAAGGAACAATCAGTTGCACACATACAAAATGGGAAATGACTGCCTAGGAAGGAGTACTGTGGAAAGGGATCTGGGGTTCATAGTGGATCACAAGCTAAATATGAGTTAACAGTGTAACACTGTTGCAAAAAAAAGCAAACATAATTCTGGGATGTATTAATAGGAGTGTTGTAAGCAAGACACAAGAAGTAATTATTCCGTTCTACTCCACTCTGAGTAGGCCTCAGTGGAGTATTGTGCCCAGTTCTGGGTGCCACTTTTCAGGAAAGATGTGGACAAATTGGAGAAAGTCCAGAGAAGAGCAACAAAAATGATTAAAGGCCTAGAAAACATGACTTATGAGGGAAGATTGAAAAAATTGGGTTTATTTAGTCTGCAAAAGAGAAGACAGAGAGAGAGGGGGCATAATAACAGTTTTCAAGTACATAAAAAGTTGTTACAAGGAGGAGGGAGAAAAAATGTTCTCCTTAACCTCTGAGGCTAGGACAAGACGCAATAGGCTTAAACTGCAGCAAGGGCGGTTTAGACTGGACATTAGGAAAAACTTCCTAACTATCAGGATAGTTAAACACTGGAATAAATTGCCTAGGAAAGTTGTGGAATCTCCATCATGGGAGATTTTTAAGAGTAGGTTGGACAAACACCTGTCCGGGATGGTCTAGATAATACTTAGTCCTGCCATGAGTGCAGGGGACTGGACTAGATGACCTCTCGAGGTCCCTTCCAGTCCTACGATTCTATGATTCTCCAATCTGTTTCACTAAAAGACCTGATCTTAGCACTAAAAGATCCAATCTTGCTCCTACTGAAGTCAATGGTCAAACTCCCAGTGGCTCAAATGGGACCAAGTATGGGCCCGTTGTTAGTGGAGAGAGAGACTTGAGTAACATGCTTGCCAAGGGTCAGTGAGCAATTATACAAACCATTCATTGTGCTGAAGACAGAAAGGGATGGAGCAGAGCTGGAGGTGTCTGTGATGGACACAGCATGGCAAACTCTCACCTTTAGATATGATCTTGGTCTGACATGAGCTCCCATGATGCATCCTTTTGCAGTTTCATATCATATCATTCATACGCACACACACACACACACTCTCTTTAGTTAAATGGTGCAAACCCTTGTGTGGACTCTCTTATTTCAGTTTACGAGGGGCTTATTTCACTTTTGCTTAAACTTGTTCCTGACTGACTTCAGCTAAACCGAAATAAGTTTGATTTAAACCAATATAAGAATGTTCAGACAGCCTTTTGCACTGGTTTAACTAAATCGGTTTAAGATCCCATCAGTAAAATTTCTGCAACTGCTGCAACTCTGCAGGTAGGTGTATCCTTAGTTATACAGAAAGCATGAGGATCTCAAAGCACTTTACAAAGGTTGGTGGTATCATTTACAAATGGGGAAATTGAGGCACAAATAGGCTTTTTTTAGGCCAGATTTTTCTCTGTTATACCGATATAAATGAGCTCAGAATTTGGGCCAACGTTCCTTGTTTGGAGGCAGAGTCTGGGACACAGGCCAATCCCATTGAATCTCCAATCTCATAATCTAATCATGTGAAATGCTGACCTGGCTCTTGGCTATTGCCATTCAACTCTCTTTCTGATTGTTCTTAGAGATCTGCACGAAAAAGTGAGTGGGATTTGTTTGTTTTTTGATTTCTGAACAGATGACAATGGATCAGTGGAGGAATTTAATTCAAAATGCCATTCTGGAACCTGAAGTAAGAAGATACATGTTCTACAACTCCAGAGCTTTTGGGATAGCCATTGCTGTGGTAAGGATCACGGCCTCTCATTGAGGTTAATTGGTATGTGCCGTTACTGATGTACAATGAAAATTGCCTTGGGGATTTTCACAGGAGCCTAAGGGAGTTAGGTGCCATTTCAATGGGAGTTTGGAGACGGGATTGAATTTTCAAAGGCACAAATGGGAGTTAAGTGTCCTACCCCTATTGACTTTCAGTGGGAGTTGAGCACCTAACTCCCTGAGGCCCCATTGAAAATCCCATCTTGCAGAGATTGCTGTATAATAAGGCAGGTATGCACACTGCCAGCTTTTCAGGAGTCCCACCACAGGCTGCCAGTTAGCAAAGCTTTCGCTGTGGTGGCTTTAATGGGGATGGAACTCATTTACCGGAAGCATCTGCCTCAGCCCATCCTTCTCAGCTCTCAGACATCATCTGAAAACACTCTGGACCTCATTCTCATTTACCCTGAGGTCTTCTCACTTCTCTGGCAGGGCCGAGGAGTCTTAAAATGGGACTCAATTATATTTTCACCATCTTTCAGGCCCCTTTTCATGAACACATGAATAGTCAGAGGTATTTTTTAATGTCAGCCATTGTATTTTCGCTAATGCTGCAGTGTTTAGATTTTTAATATTTTTCTGTTTGGTATTATTGATCTAACCTGTCTAATTTATCTATCTATCCCATATAACATTGTACCACGCTGTATCATACCTATCTTTCAGTCCATCTCTAATCTATACGTTCCATCAGGCAACGTCCTGTCTTAAGATACCACTCCAAGGTATCCCCAAATGAATATGACTCATTGCCTTCATTAGTCCCTAGAGTGGTCCCTTCAGGCAGGTGCCACTGTACATCGTTTTTGCATTATTGTATTTTAACTGTCTTGGCTGTACCCATCGTGGTGTGGGAACTTTATAAACACAGTGACTATAATAAGTATTATTATCAATACACCCGGGGGAATCTGTTTCTTACTAAAAATGTAGGAACTTGGTTGAAATCCTAAGTATGAAACACCATCAAGAATTCATCTGCTGTCTTTGATGATCAGGAGCTCATTCAATCCCAACTCTCATTCTAGACCTCTCTCTCCCCCATGATTCTTATTAGAAGGACCTTTTGTCCATTACCTCTCAGAAAATCCCTGGTAGTTTATCTAATTTATGAGAAGGGAACTTTCTTGTTCTCTTGACCTTTCTTCTGCTTTCGCTATTTTTGTGAGTATTGTTTTCTGAGTCTCTCTGGGTCTTTTCAGATTTTCTACATCTCAATCTGGGCAAATATTTACTCCACCATGCAGCTGTATTCCTTTGGGTGCCACTGGGAAGTCAGCATTCTGGTGACGTTGGCTGCCATAGCAGTCACTATAGTTGTTATATTGATTATTGACCAACATCAAAGGAAGGTAAGGAGAAATTTTTCACGTGTTCAATTATGTATTTCTTTCCAAGCAAACAGTTAGGGAACAAGGTAATTGTCTAGAAGTATTTGAAGAGCATAATTGCCAAGAAGGGACAGAATATTTTAGAATGGGCACAGTATAATTAGAATAACCAATGGGGTGCAAAAATAAAGTTAGGCTGCATATCAGAAAAAATAAAAGTCCTAGGGCTTGATCCATAGCCCACTGAAGTCAATGAGAGTCTTTACATTGACTATGATGGACTTTGGATCAAGCGCCGAATGATGAGAGCTATAGACTTAATCTTCCAAAGAAAGTGGAAGCTCCATTGTCTGAGATATTGAAACCTAGACTGGAAGATATACAGGACTGTCTGAGATAATCCTGAACTGACTGGTGGGGGAAGGAACAGGTACAATGATTTTACAAGTCATTTCCCTCTCTAACTTCTGGGATTATATCACATTTTGTGGTGAGAACTCTGGTTGAATAGTCCTGGTATGTAAACTTCCTTCAATGGCAGCAGAGTTAGGCCAGAGTTGAGCGCCTCTGAAAAGACTACCTGAAATGGATAGTTTCTCTCTTTGCTTTGTTTTCAGGGACTTAGGACTTTGGGACCATCAGAGTCACTGACTCTTTAAAATTCCTGGTTACAGGCTGGCCTGGAAAGTCACCGTGGGACATGCTAACATCTTCTCTGTTATTTAACAGATACACGTGAATACTGATGTGAGGCTGGCAGCTGCCAATGAAGTCTTCATGAAGCACAACTTACTTCTGGGGGTTGCAGATGCCATGGACAGACACCAGAACATTCTACAGGTATCCTTTCTGGGTGAGACAATTTCCCCTCATTGCTGGTGCCTGCAGGTATGGAGGTATTTATCATCAGTCTTCTCATCAAAGAGGCTCTCCAGAGTTTTTTTTTATATCAGGGGCCTGACCCACTGAAGAGAATGACTCCAACTGAGTTCAATGGGCTTCTTTATTATTTGTTGAGTGCCAGTAGTGGGCTCAGGGCTGTACAAATATAAAGGAACATGTGGTCCCTGCCCCTAGAGCTTACACTCTATGTTGTGAAGACAAACTCATTAAGGCACCTAATACACCATTTTCACAAGTGCCTCCTGACTCTGCATGCCCTACTCAGACACTTTAAAGGGGCCTGATTTTAAGAGGATGAGTGCTCAGTGCTTTTAGAAAATTGGGCCTCTTTAAGACGTCTCAAATTGCCCCCTGCCCCCAACATAGAGGGACACCAAATTAGTAGGTCTAAAAATTTAGGCCCAGAGGACCAAACGAAAGTGAGTCTCAGACTTTTGTGGATTATCGCACAAGAGCTTGGAAGACGTGCAGTTGAAGAAGGGGGTTGAAGAAGGGGACAAGAAAACAAAGACTCCCCCCCCCCCAAGCATAAGAGGCAGCATGGGAGAAGGCACAATGATTAGAAATGGAAAGGAAACCAAGAGCTGAGAGGGGAGTAGGAAGAAATTAGGAGAGATGCAAGCAGGAGGGGAGTTATGCAAAGTCTTGAAGGTGAGGGTGACACACTTGAGAACTTGAACTAGATGTTTGGACAAACCTGGCTACACTTTTAACTAATCAAGATGGCTAATGGAATAGGCTCTGGCTCTGTGCATGTGTGCTGGGCTTGTCAGAGAGCAGAACTAGGCCCAAGGATGTATATTTTTGTCCGTCTTACTCCAGTGTTTGACTATATCTTTTCTCAGCTTTCATATTGCTTTGGAATTCCCTTGATCATGCAAAGCAAGACTATAGATGTGTACCCCCCGCAATCCCCAAAATTATGGAGCACCTCATTTTTCCCTCCTCAGGGACTCCGTGGCCACCACCCACAAGCATCAGTGGGTCCTAGTTTCTTAGTGACTGGGGCCTCAATCTGTCTGGGAGCACAAAACCAGCAACTTCCGGGTTATTAGGTCACAAGTACAGAAAATCAAGGACTACGTAAAAATAAACCACAGTCTATTCCCTGGACCAGACAGAGGTCATTTAAAAGAAGGGGAGGGGAACAGGTGAAGGTCTCAGAGAAAATAAATAAATAAGGCCCCAGCCCTCCCAGAACAACCACTAAAACCCCCAGACAAGAAATACCTCCACCATAGTCTCCCCACAGACCTGACCAGGGCAGTGGGGCTGGAGCTCAGGTTGTAGGGCTGGTATCCCTGTCTATGCATCCAACCACTCTCCTGTCCAGCTGGATAGCATCCTGGGCAGTAATGAGACCAGCCCAGTGTCGGCTCTTTGGGGCCAGAAGTTGGTCACCCCGGCATGCCAGTCCAGTTCCTAGGTGTGTCCCTCCAGCACAAGCAGATAGGCCGTCCCAATCTTTGCCTGTGGAAGCTGTGTCTTGTCTCCGAAGTCCCCAGACTGGCAGGCAGTGGGTACAGATAGATACGTTGCTAGCTCAAAAGATGGAGCATTGAGGAATTGTATTGGTGTCTGTCCTGTAAAATGCTCCTTCCTTAACATCCCCCACCATCATCAGCTTTGCTTTGTCCATTTCAACCTGGAGCAGTGTCGTCACTCCTTAGCAGGCTATATTACAGAACGGAAGAGAAACCACCAGGTAAACGATGCTTGGAGCAATCCGAGCTGACTGTGCTACATACAACCTCTAGGATTCGGAAGAAATGAGGGGTATAGTGCATGGGTCAGGTTCCCAAGTATACTCTGGTTGTCTTACCCCACTCTAGTTACACAAAACAGCCAGAAACATGGCTTCACCAGCCAGCTGAGCTGGGTTTGTGACTGCTTTGCATCACTGGAACAGCACAAAGTGTGGTGGCGAATTGAGCTCTGTGTGTTGATCTGAAAGTGAATCTAATAAAAATAAAAAGGATTGCCTGTTTGAATTTCCTTGTGATCAGGCCCTGTTGTAAATTTCTTCATCTAGGGCCAGATTGTTAGAAATGCGAGTCACAAATCAATTGTATGCATACGTGTCCAGTTCACATGTGCAACTGGGTGCCCGCGTTTCTCAAAATCTGTCCCTTGATAATGAAACGTAAAAATGTAATGAAAGAAAATGAACAAGAATCAGGGCCAGATTTTGATCCCTCACTCACACTGAGTAGTACCTAACTTCCTGAGCCGTGCGACTGAAATCAATGGGACAGCTCAAGGAGTAAGAGACGATTCTGTTTGACTAAGGTTATATAATCTAATCCCTTCGAAAACTGCTCTAGCTCTTTTCCTCTAGGATGTGCATGAATATGTAAATTCCACACTGGAGTGTCATTGCTGGTTATGAGCCCACGTCCCAGTGTGCGTTTCAAATCCCCACTCCTGTAATCCTCTGAAATCTGAAGAAGTCCCACTGGAGAAGCGACGGATGCAGCAATGGGCGGAATGTGACAAGCAAACTGAACAACCTAACAGGCATCCCACGTTTCAGACAAAAGCATTATTTTTTATTATTTGCTTAGGGCTGGTCTGTGAATGTCTTGAGGGTGCGCAGTTAGTCACACAAGTAACATAGCTGAAATGACTGGGTTTACTTGTGTGAGATACTGCTGACCAATGTGAGTAGGAGGTTTACAACCTGATCTGTAATCCTGGGTGCTGTACAAGACATAGACCTAGTCCCTCCTGCAGGGAGGTTAAATTCTATGCTAGACGCACAGCACGTGTTAGATGCACCACCTGATGAAATGCAGTTCCTAGCTCAAAGCAGTGTGGGTGGCTTTAACCTATTTTTAGGCTGGGCAGAATTTGGTGTTTATTTTTTAAAATAATTTTGACAGATAATATTGATGTTTATTTTTAAGCACTTTTTTGAGGTCTATTGATTTAAATGTTCTCATTTGCAGAAAATTATGGGGGCGGGTGCCAGACAATACAGTAGGCTGGAGTCAGACAATAATTATTTAAGGACAGGAGGTGTTGAGATACAAAAAGTTAAAGCTTTGATGACTGTTAAAACATTAATTGTCAACATCGTATGTCAAAACATAGGAAGTAAATATCCTTACATCAGACAGTAATTCTCCAGCAGCATTTTTTGTACTTTGCCTATTAGTAAATTTCTATTAATATGGATGGAAATAGTTTTTCATTGGTTTGTGTGTGTGTGTGTGTGTGTGTGTGTGTGTGTGTGTGTGTGTGTGTGTGTGTGTGTGCGTGCAGTGAAGTTGACGTTACTGACATTCACCGATAAAAATCGAATCTCCTGCCAAACGTACATCTTTTTCATGCCCTTCTTTCCTGGGTGGATAATTGTTGATAACTGTGCAGCACCAGACCTTATAAATTATACTTGCCAGCTACTCAGAGAGGAAAGGCAGAAAGACAATGCTGCCCACCTTTGGAGATCCCAAGACCTCTCCTTGTGTTTTTCAGTCAGCCCTGAGGCACAATCTGGACCAGTTCTGTGTCACTATGGAAACAGTGATCCAGTCGGGTCAGGGAAGAGGAGAGGAGAGTTCGTCTGAAGAGTCGCCTCTTCTACCCAGTGACAAGAAAAGGACTCTGGCATGCAGTGAACTGCTCCATCTCATTCCAGAGGGAGCTCCAGAGGTAACTTGGAGGCTAAGCAGCAAATGTTTTCTCTCTGATTTAGCAAGAAAGCTTCAATGGGATGGGTTTGATTTACTGTACAGAGCTATTGAGTGAATTTAGTGCTGGTGACAGCCCTGGAAACAGAAGCCCTCTAGCTATCTGTAGAACAGCTACAATATGAGCTGTGGCGAACCAGGCTTGCCACCACTCCATCCCTGCCAACTTGGCTCAGCCCTGACTCCCTGGTAGGATGAGGTTGTTCAGTCTCCATGGCCCACTTAGTCCTTGGCCCCTCAGCTGGGCCTGTCAGCTAATAACAAGGGTGGGGACTGTTCTGTGAGGTTGACACCAACACGCTGAATCATTTCACATAGGCCCCAACATGGCTCTTGGATGGTAATAATGTTCTGCCACTGTTGACCTGAGCTGTATTTGAAGCAGTGACCTAGCCATCACTGTGTTCCATTACCGTTCCTTTGAGCCATCTAGTAACCTCACTTATATTGCCGTTAAGGACAGAGGGCCTGATCCACATTTGCAGTAAGGCAGTGTAAAGGTGTGTACGCTGTAAAGTGAGTGTAACTTAGACCCCTTTACATAGCCAGAATGGTGTAAATGTAAACATGAATCAGGCCCAGATAAACTTAAGCTTATGAGTACAGCAGGATCCCCTTGCTTTATGGGGACTTTCCTCAGTATTTACGGGGACTTTCCTCAGTATTTCTATTCATCCCATTTTTCATACAAGAAATATAGCTACAAAAGGTCTTTGATGGCTTTTGCACTATCCGCTGTTGTAGGAGCATCTGTTTTGGGGCTGGATCAGGAATAGTAAGGAGAAATGCATTAAGAGTTATCATTTAATATCTAATACATCATCGATTGGGGGACAAGATGTCTCCTTGGCAGGAGATATTGGCACCAATATCTAAAAGGTCTTTTTCATCTTTGACTCCTATGATTGCCCCAAGACTCTATCACTTCATCTATCTATGGATGCTGACCCTAGAACTCTGTCACCATGGGCACTGTGTAGGTATTGATGTGTGGAGTGCCTCTGATGTTGATCTCATTCTTGTTCCAGGTGATGGCCCAGCAGCTGTTGGTGATCTTCAGTGGCTATTACATTAGACTCTTGATTAGTGGTCAGCTCCCTCAGGTCATCATGTTACGGCATGTGGAACACATGAATATTCCCTGCCTTTGCCAGTTCATAGAGACAAATGTGCTTGACACAGGACACTGTTGGTTCAAGGCCAGGTGACGTGAGGGGCCTGGAAAGAGTTGTTGCAATTAATACTGTTCAAATACAGTGGTTCATGGAAGAAGCCAGGGCATAGGGAAGTCCCGGAGAGAGATACAACTGCATCAGGGATTTGTTTTGACCAATGAGAGGACAGTAATGAGGTGGAGGACATGACTTAAGTTAAATATTCAAAATCCCATTCAGAGACAATAAAAGAGACAGATACCTAACTGCCCAACCGCCCTCTTGAACAGGAGCCAAATCTCATGTGAAGAAGTGAATTATGCTGCTTATGACTTCCTTACTTCTCATCAGGTCTGTTGGCCATCCAGTACAAATAGTTGCATTTATGTGTGTTTGTAATGAGCTATCAACTCATGCTGTGAACAGTGCAAGTAAGGATCATGCCTGGATGATGCACAGCATGTAAAGTTCAGATTGTTGAATGTTTAATGCAAGGAACATGGCAAGATCATGGCTAGTTAAGTTTCCTCTTTTATACCCCACTCATGTTCCTTTCATCATGCATGTGTGATCCTTGCATTTTTCCCAGCATAGGGAAATGACCTGGCTATTATCTTTATTTTCTTGCACAGACATGCTCTATTTTCTTTGGCTCTGGAGATCAGAGCATAACATCTCTCACGCCGGCAGAAACTCACAAACTCTTAGCATCCCATTTGTTCGGGACTTTTGTTGGTATTTGTTATTTTCTAGGCATGGACACTGCACTCAGCACTGTACAAAACACAGAAGATGTCACTACCTCTGACCTGGAGAATTGTTAACCTAGGAGCATGATCAGAAATGTCCCCCACACCTTTGACTATACCAGGAGTTAGGGGTGATGAACAACTTCCAGAAGGTGCTTTAAAAGACAGACAACATGAAACACACTACGAAATCTTAAGCAAAGTCCTTTATTGAGCATCTTTTCTACAGTTTTGGGACAGTATTTTTTTTTATGCTATCATTTGTAAATGACATGGAAAAGGAATTAGTTTTAAGCAGGAGACCAAAGTATCTGCTTGTTACTGGGTTAATTTAATAAATGGCAAGTGAACGAAGTGCTTAAATTATGCAAGTAATTGTGTCCTGGAGTAATAACCACGAATGGGCAATCAACATACAAGTCAGACATGGCTTGTGCTTTCCATATGAATCCATCTGACAACTGCAGACCCTATCATCTGGTTTCAGCAGGTAAACTTAAGGCTATAGTTCCATGGAGGAGTTGATCCAGTACAAATGGCAATGGGGATTTACATGACCTCACGACCATGACAGGCTGTATCTGTAAGATTGCAGTAGCTGCCTTAGGCACACAGATGTCCTAGTGACGATCAGGGTATATGGGGCTAGACAGACAGTTGTAATGATGTGCTCCTGCCCTGTTATTTCTAATTGTAAAGTCCCCTGAATAGCTTATTTCTGTCGATGAAACACATTCATTTGTAATTTGCCGCTCCATGGAGGCACTTAAAGATCTCATTTAAACCAAGCTCCACCTATTACATAGGAACATGGGAACTGCTAGACCACATCAGACTAGCGTGATCCAGCTCAGTATCTCGTCACCGACAGGGGTCCCTACCAGACGTTTTTGATGAAGGGGCAAGAAAATTCATAGGGAACAATTAAAAAGTAACCGGCTCCCAGGAGAAATTCCGTCCTTACTCTCCTCGTTGGTGTATGCCCTGAAATGTGCGGTTTATGTCCCCTATAACTTTTTGTTAAATGAAGTGTGGAGGTTCGCGCTCTCCATGTAAGTGTCCAATCCTTTTTTTGAAGCCTTTTTTTCTGCAGAGAAATCCTGGCTCCTCCGCAGTTTTTAACAATGACTTCAGCGAGCATTTCACCCCCGGCCTCAATAGTTTCTCGTGGCAGGAAGTTCTGCATTGTTCTGAGCGGGTCTTTGTCATGAAACTCTTGCAACAGACCAGCGTATGGTAACAAAATAGAAAATGTTACCTCTTGTTGTCTTGACAGGGCACTAAATTGGGAGTCAGGATATTTTGGGGCTAATACTGGGTGAGCAACTGACCTCAGGCAAGTCACTTCCTCTCTCTGTACCTGTCCTAGGGTGGCTGGCCCTTAAAGGAAGCAGGTTCAGACCAGAACTGGTGCTCCCAGTTTGGCTGATTAAGAGTCTGGGGCGGCACCAGAGGGAGAATCAGAGAGGTAGGAGGTCCTTGAAGGGAGCTGTAAGAGGTTCCCGGGGCAGCGGGTGGTTAAAGAACAGCAGAGGGGTTTATGGCTGACCTCCCCAAGCTGGAGAAGGCTGAAGGCAGTAGAGCAGCATAGGGACTTTCCTGCCGACTTCGAAGCCAGCGAGTTGAGGCTGCAGGGCTGAAGCCAGGGGAGCAGTGAAAGGGCTTCCTTGCCGGCCTGTCTGAGATGAGAGGTTAACAGAACTGGGGAGTGATGCTGTTCCCCTGGTGAGGAGGATGTCCCAGCAGAGAGGCTAGTGGTGGGAGTGGGGTTCCTGTTGGGAAGAAAAGGGGCTGCACTCCCGCTGGAAGGCCGTCCTAGCAGAAGGACTGGAGAGGACAGGTGAAGAGCCCAGGTGTGGTGGATGATGCCGGAATGTGGCACGAGCTATGCTGGTGAGCTAGATGTGATGGGATTTTAAAGACTATTTTCCTGGGATGGGGCATGAGGGAGTGATCAGTGGACTATGTTCTGGGACGTTTATTAGGGATTATTTGCACTATGTTTTTGTAATAAAGTGTCCCCTCTTCCCCCGGAGAGGGATTATTGAGGCAAGAGAACCTGTCGTAGAGCCTTTTTGAGAGGGGAATTGGGATGTAGCCCTGGTGCTGGAGCTCCCGGGTCCCAGGGGGCACCCAAGGATGAGGGGGAATCATTCACAGTACTGCTGAATCCCTCCCCTCCCAACCCCCCCGTCTGTCTTCTCTGTATAGGCTGTAAGCAATTCAGGAGCACAGGCTATCTCTTACTATGTGTGCAAACACATGGTAAGACACCATGGGGCCGTAATCTGGGCTGGGACCTCCACGGCAACCGTAACACAACTAATAAATAATTCACTGTGTACTCCAAAGGAATAAATGCTCGCCAATGGGACAACACCCAAAGGCCATAAATGTACAGCACGCCTGCTTTCATTCTGATTTTAGTCTTTATTGCTGGTTGAATTGTGGGTTTGTAGCACAGGAAGGATTCGGACTTGTTCATCTCCACACAAAGGAGTTTGTGAATCTGTCGTCATTGCTCACTGTGACAATACAGGGAGAACTTCCCAGAGGAAAAGAAATCGGATCACCGAGGGTCAGATCCATCCACGCATGCAAGGGTGGTATCTTCCCTCCATGGGCCAAATTCTGCTCTCTCTTACTTCAGTGTAGATCCAGAGTAACTTCATTGAAATCAATGGAGTTTCTCTGCTTTATGACCGTTTTAGAGACAATTTTTAGCCCTGAAGGCCAGATTCTGTTCTCTGTTACACCACTGTAAATTCAGGGCTACTCTGGTACAGATCCTCAGTTGGTGCAAATCAGCATAGCTCCAATCAGTGAAGCAATACTAATTTATACCGGCTGAGGATTTGACTCTATTAACTTCAGTGAAGTTACTCTGAAGTTACACCAGTATACATGAGACCAGTATTTGGCCCTATATACGTATTGAATACGACTTTGGTTTGTTATTAGATTGAGAAGGGTAACATATTCTCCCTGGCCCCAGTACAGAGCATGGAGTGAGTTTTGCAGGCAGCAGTTCTAGCAGATGCTGAGTGTCGGACTTAATTTGTCTTTCATGCTGGGAAACCCTTGTGGCAAGGGGTTAATAAGGACAATTCATACTGTTATACAAATGTATAGAGAGCAAATGCAAGATGGATTGACTGGTGAACACACATTTCCGAGCCCCGGGGAACAGGAGCACCAGCAGACCAAGACACTCGCAGAGTCAGTGAGAAAGAAGGCCAAGGGCTTCCAAGGAGGGCCCTGAGGCCATCTACCCTCAGGATCCGCAGGGCTGTTCAGGGCCGAGCACCTTGTTCCTAGTGACTGCGTCCGTCAATTGGGGAGGGGCTTCTGATACCACCGTGTTTACATCTGAAAACACAAGCGCAACGGAGGAAAGAGGAGGAATCAGCAATGGGGGAGTTAAAAGGCTTATCATCGTCTGGACAAAGCTTCAACATCAGCTTGCCAAGAGGCTACGTTCCAAACCTTACAGCAGGAGATTGTAACACAGAACAGGGTAAAGCTGAGGCTATGTCTACCCTTAAAATGCTACAGCTGCACACCGGCGGCGCTGCACCTGTGCCGCTGTAGCACTTCAGTGTAGACACTACAGTGCCGGGAGGGGTTCTCTCGTTGCTGTAGTTAATCTGCCTCCCCAAGAGGTAGTAGCTAGGTTCTCGGAAGAATTCGTCTATCGAACTAGCGCTGTCTACACAGGGACTTAGGTTGGCCGAACTCTGAGGGATGTGGCTCTTTCCCACTCCTGAGCGACTTAGCGGTGTGGCTCTAAATGTCTAGTGAAGACCAGCCCTGAGAAAATTAGGCCATATTTACATTAGAAAATGTTTTCAGTCTTAAATAGCTCTGCCAGCGAAGCTTCCTAGCGTCGGCAAAATGGGCTCTTGTTGGTATTATTTAGAATGGTGCAGTGAGTGAAATAAGCAGATCCATTGATTCCAACAGAGCGAGGCTGATTACACCAGCTGAAGATGAGTCTATTATCTTAAAGGGGAAGTTTAAATACCACTGCCAAGGCAACTTACCTGACACCTGTTAAACTGCGATTCCAATGCTGGGCCTCTCTGCAGCCCCACCCCACCTGGCTTTTAATAAGTCTGTTTAAAACTCGTCGTTTTTCAGTCACAAACAGCGATGTCATAGATTCATAGATTCTAGGACTGGAAGGGACCTCGAGAGGTCATCAAGTCCAGTCCCCTGCCCGCATGGCAGGACCAAATACTGTCTAGACCATCCCTGATAGACATTTATCTAACCTACTCTTAAATATCTCCAGAGATGGAGATTCCACAACCTCCCTAGGCAATTTATTCCAGTGTTTAACCACCCTGACAGTTAGGAACTTTTTCCTAATGTCCAACCTAGACCTCCCTTGCTGCAGTTTAAGCCCATTGCTTCTTGTTCTATCCTCAGAGGCTAAGGTGAACAAGTTTTCTCCCTCCTCCTTATGACACCCTTTTAGATACCTGAAAACTGCTATCATGTCCCCTCTCAGTCTTCTCTTTTCCAAACTAAACAAACCCAATTCTTTCAGCCTTGCTTCATAGGTCATGTTCTCAAGACCTTTAATCATTCTTGTTGCTCTTCTCTGGACCCTTTCCAATTTCTCCACATCTTTCTTGAAATGCGGTGCCCAGAACTGGACACAATACTCCAGCTGAGGCCTAACCAAAGTAGAGTAGAGCGGAAGAATGACTTCTCGTGTCTTGCTCACAACACACCTGTTAATACATCCCAGAATCACGTTTGCTTTTTTTGCAACAGCATCACACTGTTGACTCATATTTAGCTTGTGGTCCACTATAACCCCTAGATCCCTTTCTGCCGTACTCCTTCCTAGACAGTCTCTTCCCATTCTGTATGTGTGAAACTGATTTTTTCTTCCTAAGTGGAGCACTTTGCATTTGTCTTTGTTAAACTTCATCCTGTTTAACTCAGACCATTTCTCCAATTTGTCCAGATCATTTTGAATTATGACCCTGTCCTCCAAAGCAGTTGCAATCCCTCCCAGTTTGGTATCATCCGCAAACTTAATAATCGTACTTTCTATACCAATATCTAAGTCGTTAATGAAGATATTGAACAGAGCCGGTCCCAAAACAGACCCCTGCGGAACCCCACTCGTTATGCCTTTCCAGCAGGATTGGGAACCATTAATAACAACTCTCTGAGTACGGTTATCCAGCCAGTTATGCACCCACCTTATAGTAGCCCCATCTAAATTGTATTTGCCTAGTTTGTCGATAAGAATATCATGTGAGACCGTATCAAATGCCTTACTAAAGTCTAGGTATACCACATCCACAGCTTCTCCCTTATCCACAAGACTCGTTATCCTATCGAAGAAAGCTATCAGATTGGTTTGACATGATTTGTTCTTTACAAATCCATGCTGGCTGTTCCCTATCACCTTACCACCTTCCAAGTGTTTGCAGATGATTTCCTTAATTACTTGCTCCATTATCTTCCCTGGCACAGAAGTTAAACTAACTGGTCTGTAGTTTCCTGGGTTGTTTTTATTTCCCTTTTTATAGATGGGCACTATATTTGCCCTTTTCCAGTCTTCTGGAATCTCTCCCGTCTCCCATGATTTTCCAAAGATAATAGCTAGAG